GCGGCTGCAGCGGGCCCTGAGAGCGGGGTCCCCTGCTACCCCCCACCCGCCCCCAGTGAGTTCCCCGAGGCCCAGAGCCTCCACGTGTCCCTGCTGGGTGTCAACTGCCCTCTCGGGCCGGGTCTCTTCTCCTACCTGGGACCCTCCTTGGCCGCTGCGGCCCACATGCCCTTTCTGGCCTCGGCCAGCCCCCTGCTGCCGCCGGCTTCCACCTTCCCTTCCCCGCAAGCCCCCGAGCGCCCTGCCCTGGTCCCCCGCCTATACTACCCCCTGCTCCTGGAGCATACCCTGGGGCTGCCAGCAGGCAAGGCTGCCCCTGCCAAGCCCCCAGCAGCCCCAAAGGGGCCCCCTGGGGCTCTGGCCCCGGGGCTGCTGAAAGTGCCGGTGCCTGGGCTGGGCAGGCCCTGGCCCCGAGGAGGAGCCCCTAGGGACTCAGGGCCGGAGGGGGAGCTGGAGCCGGCTGCCCAGAGTGACCCCAAGAGGAGGCTGCCCCTGGGAAGCAGTCTGGAGCCCCTGAGGGCCCCCTGTAGCGTGGTGAAGTTTGGTTCCCAGAGCAGGTAGGTGTCAGGGGCCCCTGGCCATGGGGGTTGGGAGCGGTGGGAGGCGAGCCGGCCAGGATGGCTGGGCCCCCTTCTGAGCTTAGTTGCCAGGAACGTGGGCTTCAGGCGACAGAGGGGAAACCAAGGCCACAGAGCCAGCCTCTCTATCCTTCAGGGGTCTCAAGGCCCTCAGCCAGGCTGAAAGCGGTTGGTGGGGGGGGGACGACCCAGGGGGAGTGTGGGGCAGGGACTGGGCACACTGAGGGGCACAGTGCAGCCTCTTGACCGGCTTCTACCCCCTAGCTTGCAGACTGGCCCCTCCGCGATGCTCTGGCCTGAGGACAAGGAGCCCAGCAACCCTGAGCCCCCAGGCCCCATGGCCCTCCTGCCCCAGCAGCCCCTGGACCTAGTGGCAGGTGGCCCCGGGCACGTGGGTGAGGACCTCACCCGGGCCCTGGGTGACTATGCCAGGGTGGAGCAGCGTCTGGGGCAGTTGGCGCCTGCTGGGGGCCTGGCCCCTCGGCCTCTGCGGGAGCAGCTGGGCAAGATTCGCCAGGAGCTGCTCACCATCCACCAGGCCCTGGAGCGGGCTGTTCGGCCGCCGGACGCACCCCTCGACCTCTCTGTGAAACGGGTGCCCACCAAGGGGCTCAAGGGGCCTGTGGGGCCCTGGGGGCAGCGGGAGCTGGGCCCCACACTCGCCCAGGGGGCCCCCGAGCCACCCAGCATGCTGGGCCCTGCACCAGCTGAGCCTTTCTCTGGCCACACCACCAAGTGCGAGGCTGACTCCAGTGTCCCACCCCCGGGCCTCCCCCTTCAGGCCCCGGAGGACCCTGTCATTCCTGGTAGCAGTTGGGGTGCCCGAGGTGGGCCTGTGGGCTCCTGGCCCCCTGAGGCTGTCCCTAGCATTCAGAGCCCCCCTGGTGCTGAGGTCTGACCACAGCTTCTGTGTTAGCTCTGCTCTTAACAGACAGGCACTCTTCTCCAACCCCGTGTCCGCTGCCTGGCCCCCCACCTGCCCCAGCCCCAGAGGCGTGGCCTAGAGCCTGTCCAGCATGCCTGTGGACTGACCTGCCATGGCTGTCGCCTGTCTATGAGGCCACGAGGGACAGTGGAGGGTCATAGCTACGTACTGATCACAATCATGGACGTTAAAATAGAAACTATCTTCACACACCCTGTCTGGGCCTCCTTCTTCCCCTGCCTCACCAGCATCACCACTGGGACACTCTCTGACATGGAAATGTCCCCGGCCTCAGCTTCTGAGGTGGCCAGTGTCCTGGGCTATCTTGCTGGGTATTTACCTTCAGGTGCTGACCTGCTTCCTGTAGGCTGGGCCCTCCCTGGGAGAGCCAGAGTCTGGAAACCGAATGGGGCGGGGGGAGCTTTCCATCCAAGGCGGGTAAAGCAGGCAGAGGTGGGGAGGCCCGTGTGCATGGTCTTGGGGCCAGTCAGGCCTGTGTTTCAGCACGTTGGTGGTGGACAGGGACCCCTGGGCCTGCCTCCTGCCCTCGTGTCTGGCAGGGCAGCCCTAATGTCAGATCCATGCTGGAGGCGGCCCCCTCTGTGGTTATATGGTGCACCCACATTCTGTGGCCCAGGGCTGCTTGCCCAGCGTGGCCTTTGCTGGCCCCCCGCCAGCCCCTGCAGCCACGATAGGCATCGGTGGCCTTCACAGTTCACTGCTTCCCTCCCTGCACGGCCACACTTGGCCTTTCCCACAGGCGGGGGCAGGGGGAAGACAGGGAGGGGTGCCCGGGGGGACCCTTGGGCCCCGCTAATCACTTCTCTCCTGGGAGCTGGCCATACCTCCGTGCCCACCCAGGAGTGGCCCCAGGGAGGACGGGTCCTGCCTGTGCCTGGTTCCCCAAGCTGGGCCAGCCGGGCTGGGGCCAGTCAGAGCAGGACCTATGGCTGCCCCATTAATTGTGCCGGGCAGCAGATAGCATCGGCCGCCCACCCCACCTCGGGGCATTAAGAGGCCAAGTCCAGAGCTGGGGTGTGAGTCAGCCAGGTGGGAAGTGCGGCAAGCCACAGACAGGGGCTGACCCCCCACCTTCCAGGGGCTTCCTGGACGGGCTGCAGGGTCTGTGGGCTGAGTTGGGAGTCGTCCGGAGACCTGCCCCTCCTTGGCCCCCTGTTGGCACCCCCGTGTGCCTACTGCACCCAGATTTCTCATCACCCCCCAGGCAGACCTGAACTTAGGAGCATCAGCCCAGTTTCACAGGCGTAGAAGCAGGATCCGAGAGACAGGACCCAACCCTGCCGGTTTTGGGGGGGCAGGATGAACACCCTGGAGGTTCCCCACCCCAGACTCTGGTGAGGGACGCATTCAGCATGGGACCAGTGCAGCCCTTTCCCCGAAGTCCTAACCCTGCGGTCGTACCCGGGGTACAGCGCTCTAGGCTGCCTCACACGCATGTCCGCTCAGTGCCCTCTGAGCAGCAAACCCACGAATTACATTACAGCGGGTTTGGGAGGGCTGTGCGGGCCTCCCTGAAGGGGTGGGGGGGGGTGGCTGGGCTGACCGAGAGTGGCATCCAGACCAGGTGGGGGCAGTGGGAAGAATGTCCCAGAAGCCGGTACAAAGTCCCCGAGGCAGGAATGCGGCAGCACTGGGGCGCCTCTAGGGGTTTAGCAGCCGAGTGGCGGCTCCACAGAGCTTTCTTGGGCCACTGCTCAAACATGTTCTTGGCCAGAGTCCCACCTGCCCCTCCCACCTGCCCATGCCAGCTCATCAAGGCGGCCCCTCCCTCACACTCCAGTTTCTAGCAACAGAGGCTGTTGCTGCCGGAGCAGGGCCCAGGGCGACTAGCCCCAGGTAGGAGACCCCCACCCAGCCTCTCTGGGTGGGAGCAGGCAGAGAGGCCCAGGAAAGGCCCCCTGCCTAATCCTTCAGGGGTCGGAAGTTTCCAGGGGCTTTGTGGGGACGATGGGCAGACCCTTGGGCTGCCTCCAGGAAGAGTCATTTTCCCTGCCTGAGGGAAGGCAGGGTTCCCTGGGCAGATGAGTTTGAGAAACACCGCACCCC